AGGAGCTCCAGCTGAATGAGAGAATACCTGGTTGAGGGTTCCTTCCTTTACATCAGAAGTTATGGTTCTCAGTAAACCGCAAGAAGGTGATTATTCCTTACAGTAAAGGGATCAGTCTTTGCCTCGATCTAGAATTTGAGGTATCTTAATGTCTTGTTTACTGGTGACGGTAGCATGAGTTAGGAGGCAGATGAGAGTTTTGTTCTTGTGTTTAATAATAAAAGTTATTAAATCATAAGTTCTTTTGTTGTAATGAAGTAAATACCTGAGCTAAAAGCACAGTGATTAATTAACTAAACAACAATGTATGTTTCAACTCAATCAGTCTGGGTTGGACAGAATACCTCTGATGACAACAACAACCAGGACTACAGAGAGGAGGTGGAGCAGCTGCTGAAGTGGTGCAGAGATAACAGCCTGATCCTGAATGTGGAAAAAACGAAGGAGATCAACGTCAACTTCAGGAAGAACTGGCCTAACCACGCTCCACCACTCATTAACAGCACAGCTGTAGAAGTGGTCAGCAGCACCAAATTCCTGGGGGTGCACATCACAGAGAACCTCACCTGGACTGTAAACACCGCCTCTCTGGTTAAAGGGGCACAAAAGTGCATGTACTCCCTGCAGAGGATGAGGAGAGCCGACCTGCCCCATCCATCCTCACGACCTTCTACAGAAGCACAATACAGAGGGTTTTGACCAGCTGCCTCAATGTGTGGTGTGGAGGCTGCAGCGCCTCAGACTGGAAGAAGGTGAGAAGGGTGGTGAGAACAGCAGAGAAGATCATCGGGGCTCCTCTTTCCTCCATAAAAGACATTTCATCCCAGCGCTGCGTGTCCTGAGCCCGTAATATTACAAAGGAATCCTCACAGGATTAAATGGAGGTCCAGTAGATTTCAAAACAGCTTCTTCCCCACTGCCAAAATTCAGAAAGCTGAATCTTCAGAAAACAAAATCTGAAAAACTGAAAAAAAGCTGAATGTTGAAAAAAACTCTGTCACAGTCTCTGCATCAAACTGATCATATCAATGCAGGGGTTTTTAGCACCATGTTTTTTTCTCCCACTTTAAGAAAATGGAAATGCCATGAGAGCTGTACAAAACTAAATTTCGTTTTGTATAAACTCGGTGTAAACAAAATGACAATAAAGTTTGTCTTATTCTCTTGGAATAGGAGAAAATTAACAAGACCAAAAATTCTGTAGTACAACAAGCAAAAAAAAAAGGTTTGTTTATTCAATGGCTGGGCTCACCCTTAGAGATGGAGTTTATGGTGTCTGCATGGATGCTTTGAGTCAGAGCACTGCTCTTCTGCATTAAAGGCAGTCACCTGAAGTGGCACTGACATCTAAACAGAAAGAGCCTCCCTTTGAGGTATATCTCACAGAGAAAAGAGGTCTAGAACCTAGTGAAGCAACTATATTTCTTTAATTTCTTTCTTGCATAAATGAAACCTAAGAAATCACCAAGGATGAGGATTGCACTGAAAGGGATGTCTGGATATCCCTCCTAGAGGGAACCATGGCTGGATAAGAGCAGGAAAAAAAATGGCTGGACCAATTAAGGTATACTGTAAATCAAACCAGGTATGAAAAGCAGCTCGCCTCAACAGCTTGCCAACCAAATCCACTGTAAATGTCAGATATGTAAACACTTACCAGCAGCCCTCCACACACACTCACACACAAACACAGGTGCATACAACTGCAGACTGCTGGTTTGGGTTAATAATCAAGTCAGGGGAGTAAATTTAAGAAGATTTGCCTGCCATTCAAATGTTGCTCAAAGAAAATAAAAGGAAAAAGGGAGACGAGGGAAACAGAGTTTGCATGGTGATGTGGCCCCTGGGTTCGGATTTAACCAGCACACACAGCCAGTGTGTGTGTGAGTGTTTACTTGGGGTGTGACGATTTAGTGTTGTTATGCATGACTCATTTTGTTGGTGGTAGCATGTGTCAGCCCATGTGTGTGTTGATTTGTACGCATCCCCTCTCCTTTCTCACCTCCCAATCACCATGACAACCTCCTGACTCCAGCTCAGCCGCACACGGCAAATATCCCCCCTCCACCCCATCTCCATCTCTGGCACTGTCATAGATCTACACTTTACCTTCATCTCTTGTCTCCTGCACCTCCATCTCCTTGTCACTCCCCATCGCTCTCTTTTTCCTCTTATGTCTACACGCTGCTGAAAGTTTCTCCTTTCTGACTGCTGACTTTGACGAGCTTCTATCTTTTATTTGCACTCCTGTCTATCTTTTCACTGGTGCTCTCTATTCTTTGGTCCCTGCTGATTGTCTTTCACTATTAGTATGGAGCACCACTTTTCCCCTCTCTTTTCTCTCTCCTGCTGCAGGATTATTTTCAAGAAAAGCTTGTAGAACACATCAACCCTACACTGCACCTCATTTATGGCCAAGATAATAATCAACTTAATTACAGGTAGCATTCTATCAACCTCTAACATCCACCTCTCTGAATTTGGAGAGAGGGAGGTCAATCCGAGGGGAAACTTGCCAGCTGGCAGTGCATCAATATAGTCCCTCAGCCCTAAGTGGCTCTCTAACTCCCATCACATCTGTTATCATTATGATCAGGAAGCCAGTTTTGCGCCGTAACGAAATCAAATCATGACCAATAGGATCTGCGGTGAGGAAGCGTTTGTGGAAGAGCAGCTTGTGTTCTCCAGCAGAGAAAGGCCAGGCACCATCAAAGACTGTAGTGTTATCTGAGGCCTACAGCCCTGTTTCTGCAGCAGACCCCCCATTTCTATAAATCTCCCACAACCCTCCACCCCACCGCACCGTCCCCACGTGTCGACGCAGCTCAAACTAAATCCACGTAGCAGCACTGTGTTGAGGTACAAAGAGATCAAGGGCGTGACATTTTCCGCAACGCATTCCAATTTCCCAGCAAGGCGCAATATGAAAGAGGCTAAATAGGCAACCTGTTCCACCCAGACTGTTTTTGCTTCAGTCTTAGTGTGCGTCATCCTCAGTCAGACATTTAAAGAAAGTGACAAGCTTTATATTTTCTGTCCCTGAAGACAGTCTAGCAGTGTATCTAAAAAAAAAGTTATGATGCAGTTGCATCTCCTCTATATTTATATTGTTTTAAGGAGCTTTATTGCTCACCAACTCCCTCGCTCTGCTTTTTCTTCAGCTCTACATCCTCATAGGGTCTTATATAAACACTAAAAACAACACATCTGCAGTGTTAGATTAAAGATGATGTAGGACCCCCTTAATAAAGGCTACTTTTGGTGCCCTACCCACACATACTTCCTTTACACATCCAAATTATAATAGAGTACACATCATTTTAATGGTATTGCTATTGTAGTTTTGCCAAATTATACATTTCTTTTAAACCGTATCACTTATAAAAAAAGGTCTATCTACACAAAAAAGAGACAAGAACCCCGAGACAATTTTCAAGGATTTTATGGCCTTGGGGACTCCTTGGACTTGTTGCTTTGGGCTTATTGAATCTTTATCCAGTGCAAATAAAGGTAAAGTTAAACAAATGACAATAGCTTATTAGTGCTGTGTGTACAATTTACAGTTTCTCATGTTGATGTCCAGGAAAAATGTATTTGCTTGATTGTAAGTTTTATCAGTAGTAAAAGAAATGTACAGCGATTTCATAGTTTGTTTTTCATTCAACGCCTCCATTAAGTAAATACTTACAGGTAAAGGGTGCACATACTCTGGAATTAGATTCTTAGCCTTCTCTATTGAACCAGGAGGTTCTCAAATCATGGACTTTTAGGTGTTCGTCCTAACAATGGACAAACGGTCAAACAGAACTCTGCATTAAATCATCACTCTCTTAATAATAGTTATTCTCTTCCTCATAATTTGGTTTATTTCAGAGACTCTCTTGGCTCACTAAAATAAAAGCACTTCCTGTTAGAGAAATAAAAGAATTTAGCAAAAAAAAAAAAACAGTTAACAAATTTCTAGTGGTTTTCTTTAAACACAATTGCATATTTATTTTATTGGAGTACATACAATAAGATAATGCTTTTCAAAACAATCCACAACAGTTTTGATTTTATTTATCTGTCAAAGATACATCAAATGCTCTTGTGTTAATTAAGTTTAAGAATATTTTTTGTAACCTATAACAGTTTTGCATTTATGGCTAAATAAAAAGCATTAATTCCGTGTGTGAATAGCAGTAAAAGACATGGAACTTGATCTATGAGAAAGCTTAGAGACATTAGTCATAACTTAAACTTGCCTTAAAATTCCAAACTTTATAAGTAATTGCAAAATACTGTAAAAATACTGTTTGCAAACATACATTTATTTCAAGTATTTATACTGTATATATTTAGCTACTGCTTAAACAAGAACTCAAAGTTAGGCCCAGCTGCTGTAGTCAAACCTTATTCCCCCTAAAACGTTTCTACAGTGTTTTCAGATGCCAGAAAGGCTTTGTGTCAAATTCTAGTAAGAAACTGGAGGAAAATCAGATGCAGAAAGGTAAGCCATAGCAGAGTGGGGAATAATACGGTGACCTTTGCCTGTGGCTGGAAAACCAAATGAGATTTTCACAGAGAACTGAGCCAACAAGCTTTGACAACTTATGTTATTAGTTCTACTGATCACATAAAACAAAATGCTTAAGCACTGCAGTTAATGCACTTATGAGTACTCCCACAGTCAGGCTTACAAGCAGCTTAACTTACACAGATACACAACTTTATGTGCCGTACACTGGCACACCAAATCCCCCGCTACAGTGGCACATATCTAAATCATCCTCTATCCCATGATAGCTGAGTTTAAAACATGCTGATGCCACTGCTTCCTATATAGGACACCACAAAAGCACTGTAGCAACTCGTCCCAGCTACGCAACAAAGAAATACATACATAGATTAGTCCATCCTGTCAGATACTGAAAACCCCTTGACTGTAACAAAAATGAAATCCAGGTCTCGGTTTCTAGCTCACCATTGTGGATTACTGAAGTATTTAATGCTGAGCCTACCTCAACCCAAGATTCCAGGGGTTAACCTATGGCTCTTGCTGCTCTGCTTGGTCTCCTGTTTTGGGTGAGGTACACCAATAGCCAATGGAAGCCCCTACCAGGGACCTGGGCACTGGACAACATAGCAAACAGGCTGTTAGAAGCACACAAACCTCTTCAACACATTACCATGCCGATGTAAAGAAAGACCAAACCAAGAAGCAAAGCTCTTAATTTACTGGTGGTCAGTGGTAAACGGAGTACTCAACAGTAGTACTTGGGTAAAAGTATTGATACTAGTAGTCAAATCTTACTCCACTTAACATCTACTCAAGTTAAAGTACTGAAGTACTCACTTTTGAAAATACTTAAGTATTCAAAAGTACATGCATTTAAAAGTACTTAAGTGTTCAAAAATGCAAAAAAAAAAAATTCCAATACCTGTACATTTCTAAGTAATTTTACAAAATCTTGTAACTTTCAGAAACCAACTGAGGTTTTGATGTGTAAAACCACCGGCTACCAATTCAGCATAAAATGCATGAAAAAAATGAGGACATCTATTTTGAATATCATTTCTTATTTAAAAACAAATCAAAAACAAAAAAGGAGTGCCTTGACTCTCCTCACATTTTCACTATTAAATAGAGGTTTACTGTTAAATTTATTACCACAAGGAAACAACAACCAGCTTTGAGAATTCATCCAACTGAACAACTTGGCCAAATGGCAACAAGTAAGGCCTTAATAAAATCTATAAACTTCTAATAATATCTGCCCTGAGCTTCTCACATTTGTGGAATGTCATGCAAATCTCTAAAACAGTGGTTTCCACACTCAGTCTTAAAGGCTATCTGACATGCTGAAATGACATTACAAGAAGAAAAACAGCAACAGATGATTACAAAGCTAAGCTCAGCTAAAAGTAAGAAGGAACCAGCAGCTTCCTTGAAATTTAATGAAGCAGAAAGTACAATATATAACAATATATAATATATATAAGGTAGAGGAGTGAAAGTTATAAGTACCCCCAAAAAATCAATCAAGTAAAGTAAAGACACTCAAAAAAAGTACAGTAAAGAAGTAAATGTACTTTGTTACTTTCCGCACCTGCTGGCAGAATGTTGAATTTATGAGTCATGGATTATGACCAAAGATCCCAGATAGGCTAGGCTGATGTAGTTTGGGTACATCATCAGGATGCCTCCTACAGTATGTCCAACGCTTTCAGTTTTTTTAGGAGTGTCCCAGTGGTAGAAGAACCTAGGAAATATCTTAAATCTGGTGGAAGATGTTAGGAATAAGACCTGTTCTCAGATAAACAGAAGATTATTGAAGAACAAATGGAAATCAGAGACTTTTTTTTGCACTCAAAGGTGAAGCGAGTATTTTTGACATCTGTTGTGACCAATGAATCAAATCCTGCTATGAACAGAGTGCACAGCTACAATCCTTGTCACTATACTTTACTACGCTCTTCATCTGTGCTTTAATAACTGTTAAAACAGTGCTAACATTAGGCAAACATTAAAGGGACAGGTGTAGTTGGGTGTGAGGAAAACACTTACGGTAGTATAAAGATGAACAACTAAAGCACAGAGAAAAAGATTGTCACTGACTACTGGAGGCATGCCTCTGCCTCAGAAGTTAATACTGTGATAATCAACACAACATCTTTGCTCTCCCATCCCTCCTAATCACCTCTTTATCTTCCCACATTGTCCTCCTCTGCTCTCTAATACTTCCTAACTCTGGCTCTGGGCAGGAATCAACTTTAATGCTTCTATCAAGACTGTTAAATGGCTACTGATAAAAAAAAAGCACTTTAATTCTCTCAGCAGCAAACCTTTCTCTGTGAGGCCTGGAGGATTAAGCATTTGCTACTGTTTATAATTACCTCATTAAGCTCATTAGCGGTGTCCGGACCCCTCTGTCTGTTTTCTCCAGCATCTTTAACTCCTGGGGGTTTGTTTTTGCTCACTGCCTTCTCCTGACATCTGCACCCCTCTGTTTTCTTTCTTCTTGTTGCTCCTGTGTTTTCTCCCAGAGGGATTACCCTATTCATCGTCTCTTCCCATTGACAAGAAACCTCACCCCAGATGCCTCCTTAGTGCCCCCTGCCACATCCCAACGTCAAAAGGACATAACAAAGGCTACGTAGACACAGGTGCAGGTACCTCACCACTGCGGTTCGACAACATGTCAGATCTGACGATGGTCTCATACAGTTGGGTTTGTGTGGGGTTATTTTATGCACAATTACGTCTAATGAATTCAGAGAGAGAACCCAAACAAATCCAACACCGACCTGATTTAGAAAACACAGAGTCAGAGGAAGCTTGCAAGAATAGTCGCGCAGACATGATTCCCTTCAGTACAAGCAAGGAAAACAAATACCTCTAGAATGTAAGACTGGATGATAGATCATCTTTAAAAACATTTAGAAACTACACTGCAGAAGTAACACTATGCAGACACTCCCATTCACTTTTAAACTCCATGTAACATCTGAATGATTTAGTAACTTCCAATGCCTGTAAGTTAGTATTTACATTGCATTTTTTTGAGGATCATGTATCATTTTTTCCTCTTCTCAGCAATCATGTTCTCTTTTAAATTTATGCAATACACAGAAGCTTGTGACTGTTGAAAAAAATTAAAAAGTGTTAAAGGCACTAAGGCTAGACTAAGTGGGGATAGTAAGATAGTGCTTGATATCTTCTAAGCTTTTATACAATTGTTCTGCATTCATATCATGTGATGCAGTTACATTAAGATGCAGGCTAGATATGTCCTCCTTCATATAAAACTAATGGAGTTTCTAATTCTAATGCAGTTTTTATTGTTTTGTTTAAAGTTCTTTCCTCGCTGACTCCTATCTTTGAATGCAGTCCTCATCTCTGACATTACCCCGTTTTAACCTTGTCTGCCCCCTAGTCTGCAGTCCCCTAGCCAGCACATGCATGCCTGTGGAGGGTGCACTGTATAATAGGATGGCACAGTAGGTGAGATTAAATTAAGCTAGTGTATGGGGATTACAACCCACTCCAAACGTGATCCATTCCCACGCTCCATAATCCCATTGCTAATGAATACATCATGGCTGACACAGCAGATAAAAACTGCCGGCAAGAACCTCCAGTCACAACAGCACATCGAGACACAGAAAGGAGACAGAACCAGACAGCTTGTTTCTTACAGCTCCAACTGGAGGATGCTGTGTCAGTGTAACTGTGGCTGTGAGTATTATGCCCCATCTGTTTTTGTTATGGCTGGTCTAATTCTAGAGTGGGGAAGTGCCAAGAAAAACCACAATCAATACATTTTTATGCAAACACACTTAATAAGAAAGCCATTAAGGTGGATACATAACACTCAGGGGACACAGGTTTTCTGTTGTTTTTACTCATGAAGAATGTGCTGTAGTTTTCAGAATTATATTGGATTATTTTTTTGTTGTTTATTGCATGGCTGGGATTGGATCAGCCTAGTTCACTCTTTGAAATTCTAATTTCCCAACTTTTTAAATACTGTCGTATAAGTAATCCAGTTTATTCCTTAAGGGAACATTAAAAAAAAAAACACGTCCAGATATTATGACTCTAAGAGTTTAATTCCAAAATATAAATGGATTTTTAAGATAAACACCATCAGCTTTGATCAGAAACAGCTCTCCACTTTTTCATTAAAATGTTCCACGATGACCCATGGTGTGTGATCAGCACATTTATTTGCACATAATGCTGCTGCACTTTATTGGATGGAGGCCAGCCGATAGTCCCAATAAAACCGTTTTTTACATCTAAGACTCGGCACAAAAAAGTGAGCCATAAAAGTCTCCAAGGACACAAAGGAGGATTTATATTTTCAAAGGGGTTGAGGGTGGGGAGTGCAGAAAATAAATGCACTACAGATAGATAAGGACTTACAAAAGAACTGAAAGCCCTTCTCAAAACCTCACCAGTGTTGTAAAACATAGAGCAACGCACCACTGCTGCAGTGATATAGTAAACCCTTGGTTTCATTAAAAATGCAGCTGGTCTCAGAAACAAATCAATAAATTAGTAAACCAATGTCCCTATAATGAAACACTCTGTGAAAAGTGATGAAAATCAGAGCTGAGTAATAACAGGTAACTTCCCAAGGGAGTCCCAATGGTGTCAAAGATTCTGTCAATGCTGTTTAATAGATCTATAAGATTAGATTATGATATATTAGCTTTTTCATGATACTACTGTTGATTACAAATTAAATATTAAGACACGCATTTTTTTCCTTTTTTTTGCCTTGAAGAAGATTACAAGTCTATGTGGTTTGGATAAAGGCTGATCAAACAGGATTAGCCATAAACCTGCTTTTCCATAGAGGTGCTTTAAGATTATACAGCCATTCTCTAACTTTTTCAACAATTAAAACCTTAATGTTTGCCAATAAGTCCAAACAGAAAAACACCTTTATAATCAAGGTATGGCTTGGACTTATTTTCTGTTATATTTTGTCTTTAACCACAAAGATTGCTTGTTGGTAGGTGGATGAGTTTCAGTTGGTCAGGTTTTGTTTCATTACACACAAAAGTTGAATGTCAATTTTCTGAATGAACACAATATTTTCAACATTCAAAATAACGTAGAATACTTCAAATCAAATATACCTTACCATACTGACAAATGCAATGATAAACAATTTTTTCACTTCAATTTTCACACACTTACTTCCACACACTTATTTTCACACAGTTTTTTAGCCTTTTTCTGTTTAGTAACGAAAACTACACTAAAACCACAGAAGATGTTAGCCAATATCCGATATAGATATGGGAAATTGATGTAAGATCAGGCAAAAAGCTAATCTTGGTATATTATAGTCTGCATTTAAAATCTCCAATATCAACATGGTTAAAGAGGCACTTTTACCCATACTTCTATCTATTAATGTAACCTCCTGTACTGGTTGATAATAAATGGGTCATAATCTTTCAAAAATATTTTTTGTCTAAAGTTCTTTTTGAGTAATCTCCCTCCATTAATCTTTTAATGACTTTCCACATTAGGAAATAAGTATAAAACTATATATTATTCGCACTGATACTGCTTCAAATCATTCAGTATGGGCATCTATCAATACTTATATCTT